GGGGGGGGGGGGGGGGGGGATTTGTGACGTCACAATTTAAAAAAAAAATTAAATCTAAAATTTTCAAATTTTGGAAAATCTTTATTCAATTAATTTCAAAAAAATTAATTTCAAATCGAAATTGCCTCGGGTATAATAAATAGGCTACCGTGAAACTCAGTCGCGCACACCTTCTACGCGTATCGAAAAATGACGCAAAAATTGTTGTGGCCATTTTACATTCGGCTCGGGGAAGACTTCGTTGTTTTGCGTTTTACGTCACAGTTTTCTAATAGTACAACATCTTCTTCTTCTATATCTTAAGGGCCCACGATCAATTTATTGATCATTTTGGCTCTTATGCAGGTAGATGGGATTTGCAATGTTTCTGTTACTGGTGTTGATGGAAAATCATGCATCTTAATCCACTATTGGAAAATATATATTATATGAATGAGCTATGCCGAAGAACCGAAAAGATTTAAATACGTCGGATTCTTAAAACAAAGTGGCTATTCGCACCCGGATATTAGAAGTAAGAGATTGGGATTAAAAAAACTATTTAAAATATTATTGTTGGGTTTGTAAGACAAAATAAGGTATCAAGTGAAAGATAATTGAATGGACTATAAGTTTGTAAACTTACTTCTTCAGTTTAACTAAATTAACTGTGTTACGCACTGGCTTCTCTTTAAAAATTAATCTCTTGTTTTAAGTTATGGCTCGATCAAATAGTGCCCAACAAAGGACGATACCATAGATATATACAATAACAAAATTACGACACCCAAAACACTTGCCAATTACAATTAATAAGATTTAATTTAGTAATAATACAAGAACAAAACAAAATAAATATAATTAAAAATCATCAACTTAGAGAGTGTGGTAGAACTGGTGCCGATACACAATTAGAACAATGCGCCAATGAATGAAGAATGCGAATAACACAATATAAGCACACAAAGAATAATACACGTCTCGTAAAGTTAAAAATAGCTATCAATCTATCTGAATCCCTCCTCTCACCTGAATCCCTCCTCTCAATGTGCCTGTCAATCCTTTTATATATGGGGGTCTACCGACGCGTAAGCCTTGCCTTCTAGAAGCTACTCAGCATTTGTTTACATTTCTAGAACAATCGCAAACATTCTACAAAATACTAGGAGACAGTCTAACCATATTTAATTGGAAAGGTGGTAGTAAGCAAGATACATCAAACGAATAGGCCACGCCCACAACAAGCGCTATCGTCTGCTAGGGATCTAATTTGGGTCAGGCAAAGTTCAAGCACGGGAAAAGAGTGTACTACATAACAACTACGACAAATGACATCCGAATGGGATTTAGTATTAAGGGATCCAGGTCGGAATAGACTTTGAATTTGCTGCCCACCCCCGAAAACATTACATATAGAGTGGCGTCTTAAGGCATGGGAACACTGGGCACTTGCCCAGTGCCTCACCCTTCTAGTGAGTTTCACGCCTCTAAGGAACCTCACGCCTCTAGGGGGCCTCACGCCTCTAAAGTACCTCACGCCTTCTTCTTCTTCTTTATTTTGAGGGCCCACGATCAATGAATTGATAATTCTGGCTCCTATGTTTCAGGGGGTTTGCGATGTTACTGTGCATGGGTTTCAATGGGATGCTTCACTGGTTGCAAGGGCGACTCAGCAGTGGTGTTATGAACTGGGGGTTGGAATACAGGAGGCAATAGACACAAATGTGTCGAGTGTAGCCGCCTCAACTGTTGCTTTTGGAAGTGTGTTCCAGTCCCCTATTGTCTTCGGCAGAAATGAGGAGCTCCTCTACGGGACCTCACGGTCCTAGCGACATTATGCTGCAAATATTGTGAAATGAATATTGAAATATTTTGGGGCAATTAATTAGTTTTCTAAATGTAGCAGAAGATCTGTTGCCAGTTGTTGTTTTTTAAACAAGTTTTTGATGTTCACATCAATTCATTTTTTTGTTGGTACTAGTTTTATACAAAGTTTCTTTTGATACTTGTCAATTTGAAAAAAAAAAAAATACTGGGATTTTTTTCCCACTATTTTTTTTTTAAATTGACAATTATCTTTTGATAATTGTCAATTTGATAAAAAAAAATACTGGGATTTTTAAAAAATGGTGGGGTAAAAAGGGGTGGGGGGGGGGTAGTAAATCAAAGTCTTAAAAAATGCGCTATAGGGGCATCTTGAATTCTTTCAAATGAAGAGAGTTATAGTAGCTAGACATCCCAAGTAAACATTTTGAGCTACTACATTTGTTTGGAAATTCATACTGTTTCATCTTTCCTCAGATAAATCATATATTAATAAATATCTGACGCTAGAGCCGACCAACAGATGTCGCTGCGACAGGCATCGACTGGGTGAGGCACCGGTTAATGGAGACACACCGCCTCGCACTGAGCCACCTGAAACAAAAAGCTGCTAAGAGGATCGCCTTCACTGACGCACGCTATCTCGCTGTCGATGATTATATATTTGTCAGGAATCGTGTGATAGGATGAAACAGGCTCCGAGATTTCTGGCGGCCAGATTTGTATTGCATTACGGCCCGTCTACCTGAAAAATTCGTCAATAGGCGTCTTCACTTAACGAGAGGTGCCAATGAAACAGTCAATAGAAAGGGCCTTCTGTTAGCTGAAGCACCACTTTTGGAGCTTGTACCGGCGTCAAGTGTGACACCCCAGAAACACTCGATTCCAGTGACGATCAGGACCCCGTAATAATAATCACGACAAAACTGTTCCAAAACTATATTCAGTCTGAGACCCATTCACCCAGAAGCAGAGGCCTAGGGAGGGGGGGGGGAAGGGCGACAGATGTCCCCGGGCGCCAGCTAGTTAGGGGCGCCAAAATGTGCTTTGATATTATATTAATAGTAGAAATAATGGGTTTTAGAGTTGAAAAAAAGAAAAGGGGGCGCTTTAAAATTGATCTTGTCCCCGCGAATATTGTCCCCGGGCGCCAAACACCCTCTCTACGGCTCTGCCCAGAAGAGTATTGACAGATTGGAGGCGGTCCAGCACGCTTTGTTCTGAACTGCTATACAGGAACACCTCAAGTGTTGGCAACATGCTGGAAACACTGGGCTGGTCACCATTTGATGAACGAAGAGGATTATCCAAGCTAGCTATGATGTTCAAGCTAAACAAAAAAAAATGGGTTGGTCT